CTTTCTTTCTTTCTTTCTTTCTTTCTTTCTTTCTTTCTTTCTTTCTTCTTTCTCTTCTTTCTTTATTTCTTTTTTCTTTCTCTTCTTTCTTTTTTCTTTTTCTTCTTTCCTTTCTTTCTTTCTTTCTTTCTTTCTTTCTTTCTTTTCTTTTCTTTTCTTTCTTTCGACAGTGACAGTGTGAATGTGAGTGGCGGAGAGAAGAAGAGAGAGAATCCCAAGCAGGCTCTGTGCCCAGTGCAGAGCCAGATGTGGGGTTCAATCCCAAGACCCTGAGATCATGAACTGAGCTGAAATCAAGAGTCAGACACTTAACCCACTGAGCCACCCATGCACTCCCCCCCACCCTTGTGTATCCACACCACTACTTAGAGGTGTTGGCATCCAGCCTCACAGCTTCCAAGAGCTCCCATATGCTGACAGCTTCTACATGTACGTGTCCAGCTTGGGTTTCTCTCCTGGCCTCCCAGTTTATGAACCATATCAGTTATTCAGCATATTTACTCGGATGTCAAACAAACATTTCATACTTAAGATGCCCCCTAATTCTCTGTCTAAATTCTCTGTCCCAAATGTGTCTCTTCTGCCATCTTTCCTTTCTGAGTAACTGGTAGCTCTATTCCTTTAGCTGACTGAGTTAAAGAACCTGGGATCACCCTTGACTTCTCATTGTCTCTTAGACTCTACATCATCAGTAATTTTATGGGTATTATCTTCAAACTATACTCTGAATACTCAGGCCGTTTCTTCAAACATCTTTTATAATACTCTGGATTGTTGTAACAAACCCCTCACTCTTCCTTGATTTCACATTGCACCACCCCTGCACCCCTAATTGGTTCCATACTCAGCAGCCAGAAGGATAATTTAAACAGTCAATAATATAACTGGTAACTTCTTTTCAGTACTTATAGGCACTATTCTAAGTACTTTAAATATGTTAGCTTTTAAAACTTCGCACAACCCTATCAAGTAATATCGTCAATTCTCCTCACATTACAGGGTGAGAGAATTTAAGTACAGAGATTAAGTAACTTCCCAAGGTCATAAACTGGAAGTAGCAGAGCTGGGATTTGAACTTGACAGTCACCTTTCCATCTTAGAGTAAATCAACATCACCACCTGTCTCTCTGGTCTAGATTATCTGCCTCTGGCTGCTGTCCAGTCCATCTCCTACCACTCCCTTCTCTCTGTTCCAGACATACTGGTCTCCTTACCAGTTCTTGACTATGCTGAGCACATGACTGTCTCAGAGCCTGTGTGGACTTGCTTTTCCTATTCCTGGAATGTTCGTCTCTCAGATATGCTGATGGATGGCATAGAATAGAATAGAATAGAATAGAATAGAATAGAATAGAATAGAATGGAATAGAATAGAATAGAAGTAGAATAGAGTAGAATAGAAAGCCCTTCATGGTTCCCAATCTCTCTTTATAGATTTATTTTTTTTTTCTTTTTAGAGAGAGAGCATGGATGAGTGGCAGAAAGGGACAGAGGGACAGAGAGAGAATCTTAAGTAGGCTCCATGCCCAGTGCAAAGCCTGAAATGGGGCTCGATCCCACAACCCTGGGACCATGACCTGAGCTGAAATCAAAAGTCGGGCACTCAGCCGACTGAGCCACCCAGACACCCCTCTCGCAATTGACTTATATTTCTCTCCACCTGCCCTACTTTATGGAGGGCAGAGACAGACTTCTATTTCTCTCCACCTGCCCTATTTTATGGAGGGCAGAGACAGACTGGTTGCTCATTATTGTATCTCCTGAACCTCCAACAGTATCTGGTTCAAAGAAGCCATTCAACTATTTGTTGAATGCATGAATGAATGGATAACTAATTAGTTACTTAATGATGGTTGCTTGAACAGCACAGAGCAGAAGATGTAGTACCTCTTTGCTGACAACTCTCTGTGATAGAGTAAATGGGAGCAGGGCCAGGTTAGAAGAAGCACTGTAATAAAATAAGGCCTAACCCTGGCTTTGTCATCAGTGAGCTGTGTCATCCTGGTTAATTGAATTCATTACCTTGGACCACCATTTCCTTATCTTTAAAATGATGTATTGAAAGGAATGCTCACTTAGGAACAAACTACATTAGAAAATAGGGCAGGATTTATGTGATCATGGCGACCACTATAGTAAAATCAACTTACTATTTAGTGTTAAGTTCCCAACCAGGGGTAATTTTGCACCCTTCCCCCCCCCCCCCCCCCCCCCCCCCCCCCCCCCGGGAAGTGGGGGGGGGGGGGTGGGGACTTTTTTTTTTTTTTAACTTTTTAATGTTTGTTTATTTTTGGGAGAGAGACAGAGACAGAATATGAGACGGGGAGGGGCAGAGAGAAAGGGAGACTCAGAATCTGAAGCGGACTCCAGGCTGTGAGCTGTCAGCGCAGAGCCTGATGCAGGGCTTGAACTCATGAACCCTAAGATGGGGATCTGAGCTGAGGTTGGACATTCAACCAACTGAGCCACCCAGGCGCCCCTGTGTCATCACTTTTGATTGTCACAACTGGCAGATTGGGGATGGGCTAGGCATTTAGTGGTTAGAGGCCAGGGGTGCTGATAAACATTCTACAATGCATGGGATGACCACCGCTCCTCCTAGCAGAATTATCCAGCTCAAAATGTCAAAAATGATGCAGTTGAGAAACTCTCGCTTGGAGCAAATAGAGCTACTTAGATGTTGGGGTGAAGCCAGAAAAGCAAAGCAGAGCTGACACAGAACGTGAAGGCAGGGGCCACCAGTACAAAGTAGAAATACGTCCTGTCCACATACTGAAACAGAGATTACTGTCTTCAGGAGCACTGGTAACGGGAGTAGCAACATAGCACGGGGTGGAGGGGGGTGCACCAGTGGTGGGGGGTGGGGCGCGGGGCGGCATCACATGTGAACTTGGAAGATAATGACCACAGATGGGCGAGAGCTTATCTGAGTGTGCCTCCGACCAGTTTCCCGAGGGCATTTAGTGATTACGCACATCCTGGTGCATTTGTTTCTAATTGCAGTGAAGACCGTGCTCTGTTAGATCACTAAGGTGAATATCATCAAGTTTTAGAGGAAATAAATTCACAAGATGCTCCATAAAAGTAATCTCTAGTTTTTGGCACCTAGGTCTATCAAGCATTGATGAGGCAAGCAGGAAACCTAATGAAAATAATACAAGGAAATCTTTTCATCAACACCCACCCCTTAATGTCTCAGCTATCAGGTCATTGTGTTTGCTTCTCTCCATGGAATACTCATCTGCAGCCAACGTCGGAAGCTCCGATTTTAAACAAGGGTGAGTAGTGGTTTTTACATGACCCGAGACAGTCAAGTGGTGCCAATCCTGATGCAATTCAGATGTAATGATTTGTACGTGTGTTTACATTATAGCTTCTCTCACAAGCGCGTGCGCGCGCGCACACACACACACACACACACACACACGGAGACACTGGGGCAGGGGCCTTCAGTGTTTGTGATGCGACCATCTACATTTCCCCCCACAAAGGAACATGCACAGAAGATGTATATTGGTTTAAATATCCTTGCTTTATTGGCAGAGATAGGAATAGAATTAATTTATTTTGCCATGGCTCCCCCTTTCTCTTAACTTGAGTAAAAATGACCATTTTATAGCATCATGATAATGTTATTTTATCTATAAAAAGAGTTAAAGGTGAGATTGACTTTTTACTCTTTCCTCTACACTATCCTGGTGAAGAGGTTTATAAAACCAAGATAAAAGATGAACCTTGGGGACCTAAGTCCCATCAGGGTGTATTTATTGAGGTAAGCAGAATTGCGTGATAGGCATGTAGAGGCGGGGATGGGGATAGGGCAGGGACAGGATATCCTTTTCATCAAACAGACATCGCTTTCCTCGTCATTAATGTAGCAGAGTTATACAAATTGTCCTGGCTCACTTAGAGGTCCAGAAACTGAACCCACCCTTCCATTAGGTTCAAAGTGAAATGATCATCAAGGAAACTTGTAATGTCCTGTCTAGGGAATGTGGCCAGATAATGAGGATTCAAAAAATGGCTGTGAAGAGCTTAAACTACTTCTGCAAGGTGCAAAGGAAACATAAATGACCCAAATGCTGGAAAAAAAATAAAGCTTAGCAGCAGGGTTGTTTATATTAGAATAGGCTCATTATTTCTTAACTCTTCAGGTGGCCTTTCCATCTTGCCTCGTTGAGTAAAAAAGCAAGAGTAGGCAGCGATTACCTCAGGATATGCGTTTTATTGGTGCTGTGGTGCTTGGTAGGAGTTCAATATAAATAATTATTTTTTTAAGAAGATCACCAAGTAAGCACTTATTTTATGCCAGGCACTGGGTAGAGATATAAAAATACAAACAAAATAAGGACACAGTTTCTCAACTCCAGGAATTTAGAATGGAGTTGGAGGTGACAGACCGACTAAACTATAGTTTACAAATTACGGTTGGCAAATTACAGCCTATGGCCAAGCCTGGCCCACTGCTGATTTTTGTAAAGAACATTTTATTAGAAAACAGCCACGCCCATTCACTTATATATTACTGAGGACTGCTTTCACAATGCAATAGCAGAAACAAATAATTGAAACCGAGACCATCTGGTTGTCGAAGGTTAAAATATTTATTCTCCGTTCCTTTATATTAAAAACTTATAATACCTAATTATCAGGAATATGAAAAGAAGAGAAGAGAGAAAATCCATCCCAGATAAATGAGAGGCAATTTTAAATTGAAAAACTCAAAATGCCAAAAAAAATATGGATACGTTCAAGAACTAATATTTGCCCCTCAATACACCCCCTATGAAGTAAGTAGGTAATACGATTATCACAGTATCACAGATGGGAAAAGAAGGCATGGAGATGCTAAATAACCTTAGAAAACACTATATATGTAGACACTCATTTAATCCTAAGAACAACCCTTTGAAGTGGGTACTATGATTACCCAAAGTTAATAGTGGGACACTAGGGAAGAGAAAAATTAAAAAACTTACCCAAGGTCATAAGCGTCACAAATGGGTCTTTAACCAAGGTGCTCTGTCTCAGAAGGGATGTGCTAACTGATGCCGTAGCTGCCGTAGATAGATGACTAGATGAAGATTCACAACCAAACACCGTGGAACTTTCAAATCTTGTGGTAACACAGAAAAAAAAGTTAGTCATGAAGCACTATCTTCAAATTTCAGGCTGTACAGTATTATGCTGGACTACTAGATTGGTTTTACTTAGCCAGAACATAACTCAATCGTGCACTTAAGACTTTGGCCTCCAACCTTTCCAGTGGAGCTACTGGTACAGGACTTGCCCTCTCACCATAAACAAGTAGAAAAATGGAAAAAATGCAGAAAAAAATCAAAACCCTGTTTTTAGATAGTGGACAATGGGCAACACAGGACCGTGAGCCCTGACAAAGGAGGAACACGCGAGGCGAGCCCCACTACCGTGGCTTTCCGCTGAAGAGCATTTGTCTGCTCGTAAAACGGAGTCAACACACATTAAAGGAAGACAAAAACATTCCGGTCATCAATATCATTTTATTAAGAATAACTAACACCCAATCACATTCTTTTTGACATGGAAAGCAGGAGGACAATATGAACCATAAGCAGGAGAAAAATCAATCAATAGAAATAGGTGCAGAGATGACAGTAGATGTAGAGGTCAAGGGATTTAAAGTGGTTATTGGGGGTGCCTGGGTGGCGCAGTCGGTAAAGCGTCCGACTTCAACCAGGTCACGATCTCACAGTCTGTGAGTTCGAGCCCTGCGTCGGGCTCTGGGCTGATGGCTCAGAGCCTGGAGCCTGTTTCCGATTCTGTGTCTCCCTCTCTCTCTGCCCCTCTCTCATTCATGCTCTGTCTCTCTCTGTCCCAAAAATAAACGTTGAAAAAAAAAAATAAAGTGGTTATTGTACACATGCTCCAGGATTTAGAGAAAATCATGATCAAATAATAAGAGAAATGGAAGATAGGGTTTTAAAAAAATAAATGGAGGGGCGCCTGGGTGGCACAGTCGGTTAAGCGTCCGACTTCAGCCAGGTCACGATCTCGCGGTCCGTGAGTTCGAGCCCCGTGTCAGGCTCTGGGCTGATGGCTCAGAGCCTGGAGCCTGTTTCCGATTCTGTGTCTCCCTCTCTCTCTGCCCCTCCCCCGTTCATGCTCGGTCTCTCTCTGTCCCCAAAATAAATAAACGTTGAAAAAAAATTAAAAAAAAATAAATAAATGGAATTACTAGAGAAGAAAAATATAATGTCCGACATGAAAAATCAACTGGATGGACTGACTAGACAATTAGACATTGCAGAGGAAAACAAGTCCAGTGAGACTGAAGATAATGAAAAGAGAAAAAGTTCCAAAAGGAAGCACAGGGAGAAAGAGACTAAAAACTTTTAGCTGAGCCAAAATTACTTGTGTCTAAATATAAAGTGATATAATATAGAGATCTAGAAGAGGGGAAATGAAAAAAAATTGAAGAAATAATGATCAAAAGTTTCCACATGCAAGAAGCTAAATAATCCCAAATATGATAAACAACGTCAAGTCATATCATAATCAAATAACTGGAAACTCAGGAGAAGGGAAACTCATATAGAAGCCAGAAAGAGACATGCTACTTATAGGGAAGCAAAGATAAAAATGTTTAGGAGAAACAGTGGAAGCCAGAATCTGATGAATTAATCATTTTAGGTTTTGAAATAAAAAGAGTCCATGTAGAATTCTATATCTGATGAAAATGTCTTTCACAAATTAAGGAGAAAGAAATAAATTATTTTTTAGACCAAAAAAGCTGACAGAGGGTGTTGTTCATAAATGTGTACTATAAGAAATAGTAAAGGATTTCTCTCAGGAGAAAGAAGGATGATAAACAGAAGTTTGGAAAACCAACACAAGAAGTTAATATGTAGGTAAGTATTTAAATGTCTTCAGGGGCACTTGGGTGTCTCAGTCGGTTAAGAGTTTGACTCTTGGTTTCAGCTCAGTTCATGATCTCATGGTTCGTGAGTTTGAGCCCCTCATCAGGCTCTGTGCTGACAGCATGGAGCCTGCTTGCGATTCTCTCTCTCCCTTTCTCTTTGGTTCCCACCCCCTGCTCGTGTTCTCTCTCTCTCTCTCTCAAAATAAATAAACTTAAAATTTTTTTTAAATAAATAAATAAGTAAATAAATAAATATCTTCAAAACTGATTGTTTAAATCAAACAAAGTATGTTGAATTTTATAGTGGAGGTAGAAGTGAGCCATGACAACTAGCAAAAGGATGGAATATGGACAATGGATGTGTATTGCTATAAAGCTTTTTTTATGAGATATAAAATCGTGTGATGTTATTTGGATATAGACAGTTGTAAGTTAAAGCTGGTTACTATAGACTTTGGAACAACTATTACAAAATTTAGAGTAAGTAACAATTCAACAGAGAAGAAAAAGTGTGATACCCAGAAACAATCCCCCCCCCAAAAAATAAGAGGCAGGAAAAAAAAAAAAACAAACAAAAAACATGACAAACAGAGTATAAGTAAATAGCAAGATGGTAGACTTCATTCCAACCACAATGAAAATTAATTAAACTTAAATGTAACATTCATGTTATACTTAAAAAGCTGACAGGGAGTTGCCTCAGGCAGTTTACTTTCCTCAGTCTCCCCTCATGTTCCCGAGATGCTGTGGTTTCGTCTATTGTGAACGCGTTTGGCTGAGGCAGAGCTGCACTGGGAGGAACAGCAGTCAGTAGCCTAACTTGAGAGAATTGCAGGAACAGACAGCAGCGTCGTGCCCACCGTGAGGGAGGCGTTGGGGGGCCGCCGCCCCGCACCCGGACCCGCAGCAGCACAGTGGCAGGGGACAAAAGCATGGTGAGGACAAAGAGAATGGCAGGGGGGACCTGGAGGCTGTTGCGTGTCTGCAGGGTACAGATGGGGCAGATAACTCCAGCGAGTCTCTTTATGATGGAGAAGAGATGAAATGGGCATGAAAAGCCAGAACTCGGACCCGGACCATGGAATACTCTAGGGCAGGGATCAGCAAACTTGGTTCGATGGGCCAAATCCAGCCCCTGGACTCTAAAATCCTTACTGTGTGACCCTTTACAGGAAATGATGCGGCATCCTGGATTAGGGCGATCAGGCAGAAGTTGCGTCAAGGAGACCCCTGGTGGGCTCCACACTTCCACAAGCCCCTGCAGAATGGCTGGTGGCCCAGCATCTGAAATCACAGTCTGAGCCCCGCCCCGAGCTGTTGCAAGGTCCTGACCTCCTTGACTCCTCTCAGCAGACCATCAGCTGCCCTCACATC